TACACGACCGCAGGCACGCCAGAGGAGACACTGGCATGCAAACGGGTGCCCCGCGATTTGTTTAATCTCCCGACGGGCGCGCAGCGTCCCGGGAGGCACCTTTCGAAGCTCCGCGTCGACGCAGGATGAGCCCCCAGATGCTCAGGATTTCTCATCGTGCGTGCCTACTGTATCCGGCTGCACCGCCGGGGATGCCCGCCAGGTGTCTGTGTGAGTGGGAGGGCTGCTCTGCGAGGAACACTTCCACGTCTGAGCACTTTCCCCTCTCCCTCCCCCCCTCGCGGCCGCCCTCGTCCTTTTCCTCCCTCTTGCACGCTGGACACTTCGCCTTTGGGTTGCCCCGAATAGCCACACGCGCTGGAGCGGGCTGAGCTGGCGAGCTGCCTCTGCCTCGCCACCGGCGCAACAAGTGCGAGGGGGAGGGGTGCGCGGCGTGATCCGGGTAGGGAGGGCTGGGTGCTGGTCCAACCGTCGTGTGCAGTCTACAGTGGGTAGCGCCACCCCTGGCAATTTCGGCACACCCCTCATGCACTCTCCTCCTCCTCCTCCTCCGCCTCCGCCTCCTCCTCCTCCTCCGCCTCCTCCTCCTCTTCCTCCTCCTCCTCCTCTTCCTCCTCCCCTCGATGCCCTGATACGCCCGTGTTGAAACGCACAACGCACCGTGTGCTAAACGTCCGCGTTAACAGGCGGCGTGTCGGCTTGGCACGTATGGGTCCACTTCTTTGCGAACGCATCGAGCCAGAACTGCGTGTTCCGTTTGCGTGTTCAGCTCAGTGTCAACACGTTACGTGCTGGCTTTGTGCATCGGGGCAGCTCGCCGTATATACGATCCAGTAGCCCAAGTGGGGGACCTCGCGTGACGCCACCTCGCCCGATTCGGCAAAACCCATCGTGCCGCCCCCGCACATCTCTGTGCACCCCTCACGCGGCCGGTGCCCCACGGGGGCTCCAAGTTTGGCCCCGGTGGGGAAACTCGCACAACGCCACCCCGCCCATCGCGACGCACCTTCCTCGCACATCGCGCCCCAAAGCGAGCTCCAACTACGGCCCAGCGGGAGAACTGGCGTAGCGCCACCCCGCCCGCTTCTGCACATCCCTCGGGTTCCGAGCGTGCCCTCCTTCCAGCACTCTTCTCCCTGGCCTCCTCCTCCTCCTCCTCCTCCTTCTCGTCCTCCTTCTCGTCCTCCTCCTCCTCCTCCTCCTCCTCCTCCTCCTCCTCCTCCTCCTCCCCCTCCTGCTCCTCCTCCTCCTCCTCCTCCTCCTCCTCCCTCCTCCTCCTCCTCCTCCTCCTCCTCCTCCTCCTCCTCCTCACCCCCCCTCCCCCCTATCATCCCTCCTCTCTTCTGCTCCTCACCCGCCCCCTCCTGGCTCCTCGTCTTCCCGGCGGTATGGCGGAGAGGGGCCCTGGTGGAAACGCGTCCTGGACCCCGTTACAGCGCGCGGCCCACCGCGGCCCCCCCCCCCGAATGGGCTCGGCGTTTAGGTATGGGAAGCTCTGGGCACTGGTGCCTGCGCAGCGACCGCGTCATCAGGCACGCCTCCGCGAGGGAGTCCGAGAGGTTCGTGCGGGGCGGCATCCCGGGCCACACGTACCTCCTCTTCTACGAGAAAGCGGCCTGACTGCGCCCCCGCCCGCGCAGACGCGCGAGCGGCGGCGGCCCCCGCGGGGCGCCCCAGAATGATCTTCCGCTTTCGCCACGTGTATCATAAATCTCAGCAGCAACCGACGGGCCTCTCGAGCCTTTGTCACCATTGCAGGTCGAGGGGTGGATACAAGTGAGAGGTAGTCTTCCTCGTGGTCGATGTCGTCGTCATCTTCTCGTCGTCGCCAGACCACAGGGCGGCAATCCCGCGACACTCCGGGGGCCTTGCGACTCGAATTGTAAGAAGCTCCAGCGGACTGATTTGCAGGACCCCCCCAGGGGCGCCAACTCGCCGCTGCTCCTGGCCCCCCCCGCCCCCCCTCCCCGGCGCTCATCGACAGCTATTGCGACGAGTCACAGAAGGCTCCCCAGCAGGCCCCTGGGGGCTTAGGGCCGTCTAAAACGAAGGCGCAAACAGGAAGGATGAAAGCGTGAGAAATATGGGTGGGAGGGCCATGTAGCAACCTGGTGCCCCCGTCACAGCGCGCGGCCCACCGCGGCCCTCCCCCCCGAAGAGACGGCGAGGCGCAGCGGTTCCCCGCTCGCGAGCATCTCGGACAGAAGCACGCGAATGGGGTGGGCTGCTACGCGGCCGTGGTCGCCCCGCCGCAACGGTTCTGCGCGCTGGAAAGCGCCGCGGAACAACGCGCGGCCGGAAGGCCATAGCCGAGTGGAAACCCAAGGGGCCATGTCCAGCCCCCACTTGGCGGCCCCTGGGGAAGCGCACGGAAACGGCGCCTCGCCCAGAAGGGCAAGGGCCGCGCCCGTACGTTTCGCAAAGGACATCATCGTAGCATGACAGAACCTGGCTCCGAAGACGGAAAATCGCAAAGATGCCTGCCGCTGCCCGCCTCCGGCCGCAGCCATCTTCGCGCCCTTTGCCCGAGCAAGGTTCCGCGGAAGCCTTGTGCCTCCTCGAGTCTCAGGACCGAGACGCTGGGGGCTCGCCCCGACAGCTTCGCCTTGGCGATGCCTCGGCTCTTGTTGTCGAGGGCGTCTCGGCCATCCTGGTTGCGCTTGGTAAGAACATGTTAGGGGGGCCCCCCGAGCCCACTGGTGGGATTTCGATTTGCAAAAACAACATGGATTTTTACAGGGCCACTTTTGTAAAAGTATAAAACGCAAGAGCGACATCATATATTTTTTCATAAAATCGCGCAAGCCAAACATCATTGCATCAATGCTTCGGTTCGTCGCGCACAGCGCGCGCTGCGCCGCGGGCATGCTTGCGCAGCTTTCGACGTCCACGGTGGCTGTCGCCGCACTTTGCGTCAGGAAACACAGTTCTGAGCGAGCTCGCCACGGTCATCGCAGCTTGGGGCACAACGCGCGCATGGTTAGGATTCTTGGAAGGGCGCGCGCGCATTTAGCACCGCGAGGGGTTATGCGCGGGCGTGCGCGCTTCGCTGCACGGAGTCGCGCGGGTTCGCGTTGTTGCACGGCGTCGCGCGGCGTTGCTTGGCGCCCTGGGGGTGTCGGGCAATTGTTTGCACATATTGTTGATTGATAAACAACAAGTGCGTCTTCGGTTGGCCAGCGATAACAGATATCCACGGCGCTCCATGGGAGCGCGCGTGGCAGGCGGCATCGCCGACAGGCGTTGATATAAATCCTCCTCGGACCTCCGAGCCCCCCCCCCTCCGCCTCCGCCGCCCTCCGCCCCCCCCCAAGTCCTCCTCCCTCTTCTCCCCTTTGCCTCCCTCCTCCTCCTGCGCTGTCCTCCCTCCCCTCCTCCTCCTCCTCGTTTTCTGGTCCTCTTTTGGCAATGCTTATCCTTCCTTCCGATTGTCCTCATTGCCTCGTCGTTGTGCCTCCTCCTGCTCGTGTTGCCCCAGCTGCCCCTCGCGCCGACGCTGTTGCTTATTGTCTTGCGAGTGCTCCTGCTGCTCATCCCTCCTCGTTCCTGCGCCCACGGCCCTCCCCCCCCTTCTCGCCGTCGCCGCAACTCTTCAGCTTCGGCGCCGGGCCTCGGCGATCGAGGGCCCGCGGGGCCGCGGGGCCGCGGGGCCTGGCCCTCGCCCTCGGCGGGGCCATGGAGGACCCGCCCGGCCGGGGGGGGATAGGATAAGGAGGAGGAGGAGGATAAGGAGGAGGAGGATAATAAGGAGGAGGAGGAGGAGTATAAGGATAAGGAGCGGGATAAGGGGGAGGAGGAGGAGGAGGATAAGGAGGATGAACAGGATAAGGAGGAGCAGGATAACTTAAGGAGGAGGTTGGGGACATGGACGGAGGCGTCAAACACGAGGAAGGATCAGGATGCCCCCCAAGGAGGACCGCGGTGCGAGGAGGGGTTGGGCCTGGATGGGGGGGGAGCAGCTGCAGCAGCAGGAGACCCAGATAGCGACATCGAGATCGTGCCATCATTTCCCACTGCCTCGTGCGTACGAATATCTGCCCATTCGGCACGCGCTGCCCAGTCGGGCACGACTCAAAGTCCAAGCATCCGCTGAGGGCGAAGGGTGAGGATGACGAGCCGTGTCGCTCGCACACCCCTCCGCCTAGAGAGCAACATGCCAGCGGCGCAACGCGTGCAATAACAACGTGGAAACTGCCTCGTCGTCGTCGTCGTCGTCGTCCTCGCCGTCGTCGTCGCCGTCGTCGCCCTAATCGTGACGGTCGACCTCGCCTGGCCGATCCCACTATCGATCTCACTGTCGATATCACGCGATATGCATCACTATCAAAAACATTATCGATCTCACAATCGAGATCGCTAACGATGCCGCTATCGATTTCACTATCGATCTCGCTATCGGTATGTTTCGATTGACGTCGCTATCGATATCACTTGATCGTTCTCACTATCAATCTCAACCCCCACCGCATCCACCACATAATTGGCAAAATCGCCAATGCAGCAGCCTGGGCGCGCCGAGCAGCCTTCCACTCAGCTCTGTGGAAGCTTCTTGAAGAAGGCCGTGAGCTTCCTCTGCTTCGGCATCGGCTCCCAAAGCTCGTCGCGATCGGCCTCCCAGCCCTCTGGGTTCGCCATGGGCGGCAGCTCCATCGGGCGATACAGCACCGGCCTGACCGCGTCCTGCCAGAGCTTCATCAAGCGCTGGATGGGCGCCAGCACTCTGCCGATGGTGGGCACTGCCATCGTGTTGCCCAGCGCCGCGATCAGCTGGCTGCCGCGCAGCGTCGTGGTGAGCGAGTCGGGCTGGAACCCCAGCACGAGGCAGCGCTCCCTGAGGGTCATGTAGCGGCCGTCGCCCGACACCTTCTGCCCCGCAGACCCCAAGAGCCACACGTAGGCAGACTTAGTCGTGAAGCAAGCCACCGAGTCAATATGGAGGTACTTGCCAAACAACCTGTCAGGGCCCCTCGTGAGGTCGCACATGCCGACCGTGCCAGCAG